GATTGTAACATATTGACCAGCCACTTCATTAAGTACCCCTCCTTGTTTCTACACTCATTGTCCATTTTATCAGCTTCACTTACCATATAGGTGCTCAGTGTCACTGCTGGACTGAGAACAGTCCACTAACAAAAAATATCCAGCCAACAGCGTCCTGTGGGCAGCGTCCTGTGACCACTGATGAAGGACTAGAGGATGACCAACACAAACTGTGCAGCAGCAGATGAGCTATCGTCTCTGACTTTACATCTACAAGGTGACCGACAAGGTAGGAGTGTCTAAAAGAGTGCACAGTGAGTGGACACTGTGCTTAAAAACTCCAGCAGCACAGATGCGTCTGATCAGCTCTTACCAGCAACACACACTAACACACCACCATGTCAGTGTCACTGCAGTGCTGAGAATTATACACCACCCAAGTAATACCTGCTTTGTGGTGGTCCTGACCATTGAAGAACAGGGGCTAACAAACTATGCAGAGTAACAGATGGACTACAGTAATAGATCAAATGGACAATGAGTGTAGAAATAAGGTAGGTGTACTTAATGAACAATAATAATAATAAAAAAGCAATAATAATAATAATAATACAAACTGTTCCCTTCCTTTCATCTCTCTCTCTCTGGACTGTTTGGCTCCAGGTTGCTCTCTCTGACACTTCAGCAGCACACACTCCACCCATGTCCAGGCCACGAATAGACAAACCTGATATAGCTGCTTCCCCAGAACAAACAAGACGTAAAAATCAAAAGCTGCCTATTTATGATCAGAACATCCTCCTTGTTAAAAAGAGACTTGGCCCCTCTGACTCGTAGACTCTGTTCATTCCTACTCGTCATTACCTCTCTGACTTATACGCTCAATTCACTGTTTGAAAACTGCTGAATAACTTATAATCCACATCAGTACTAAATAAGCAGTTAGGCTAAGCTGCCTCTACACTCCTCCTAGTGGAGGAGCACACAAGGAAGAGTTAGAACAAAAGACTGGGGCAGTGGCAGGGCGGTTAAAGTACTTTGCCTTTAACCGTTAAAGGGCACAACCAGGAATATCCAGTCAGTCCTAGGATTTAAACCCACAACCTCCTGGCTACTCGCTCCCCGCTCCTGCCACTAGGCTGTTGGCCACCCCAGCAGATCATCTATTAAATTATGCTTTGGTTTGAAAACAAGTATAGTTTCAACTGAAGTGACAGACAATATCCAACCCTATCCAGGATTGACAACCTAATAACCAACCAACTACTTGCTTCAAATTTCTATTGGGGCAAGGCCACTCTAGACACACCTCTGACCTATAGCCCAGTCCCAAATGACGTGCTTGTGGTCCAGCAATCAAATCGGTGCTCATGACCACCCTTTATACTCCCTAAGGTGGTCTTCAGCAACACAGCAACACAGACTCAGCAGCAACCTTTTACCCCAAACTCCATTAGATTCAGAAGGGGTGGTTTTGTTTACATTTGTCTGACCAACATGGCAAAGTAGAAGATATTTAGACAAAAATGCATTTGTTTATTCATTTATTGAGCTGCATTACTGAGTTGCTTTACACTTGTAATCTGAATTATTCTTCTGTACATAAGCAAATTAGCTAATTTAAGGCCAAAATGCAGGATGCAGCCCATGCATGAGTCTGTCCCAAATACGTTTGTTTAAACCAAGCATGCTTGAGGTCTTTTGCTGTTGTTGATGTTATCAGAGTATAAACTTAGAGAAGGACCACAGGACTTAATGCCATTTCTCTCAGAGACCATCACTGCCCTCTGTTGTTAAACAGTGACATTACACTGCAGATTACACTGCCACACTGAAGGTTTGCTCACTGCAGGGCTGTGCAATGTCCACTGACCCCTCACTGATAGATACCAATAATACATAGTGTAGGATAATACCGTAATTCAGCTCCATTGGCTGGCAGTGAGGAAGATAAGAAGCTTTTGGACACATGTCCAGAAAACAGGCTCTTTCCACAAATCTGTGTGTCTCCTTTATTGCCAAAAAGTCTGGAAATGGGTTTAGAGCCTTTTAAAGTGGCACTGAAAAAATAAATAAATAAAATAAAATCAACATGATTGAATTCCCTTGCAATATTTTTGCGTTCTCTCACAAAATTTCACTTGCAAAACTTTCGCATTCCCCTGCAAATATTTTGTGTTCTCTTGCAAAATCCATTGCATTTGCAAGCAAATCAAAAATTATTTTGAGGTAACGCAAAACATTTACAACAGAACGCAAATTTATTGCAAGGGAATACAAAACATTTGCAAGAGAACGCATTGCCTTTTTTTAACCACGGCCCTTCAGGGGGTCCGTACTGTCCTGCTTTAAGTAGCAAGTAAACACATGAACTTCGTGCTATACTTTATTTAGACAAAGATTGCATCAAAAATAACTTTATGAAAACTCTCGGTTTAGGAGAGTTTCTTTTGGTTTTGGATGTGTTGCACTAAATGGTCTATAAATGGTTTGCATGTCAGTCATATGGCTGTTTCCTATCAAAAGTCAGCGATTCTCAAAGCCATCCTTGACTGGTGTGCGAGGCTGAGAATTTTTCATGTGGAAATCATGTACACATTTTAATCAAGTAATCTGTATATTCCATTGACGGTTTTCTTTCATTCTTTGTTGTCACTATAATAAGAGAAGAAGAATCATAGAGGAACAGATGGCTCTCCCTCAATCCCTCCACACAATCAAGATTAAGATTACGCTCAGCACATGTGCAGTCACACACACACACACGGTACTCTCAAAGAGATTTGTTTATGTGTTTTCTAACACTGTAGGATAAAATGGACAAAGGAACATCACTTAGATACAGTCATGTTCTAAAGTTTGGGCGGCCCAGACAAATTACATCATTCACAGACATTAATATTTTTCCTGTCCTGCTTCTTTGTTGTCCAGCTGTCGCATTCATTAAGAAACAAAGACAGGATCATAGCCTGAACAATTCTGATCTTTGTTTGTAGAGACATATATATATATATATATATATATATATATATATATATACGTGTGTGTGTGTGTGTGTATATATGTGTGTGTGCACACATATATACATATATATACCATATAGGTGCACTTTATAGTTCTACAATTACAGACTGTAGTCCATCTGTTTCTCTGCATACTTTGTTAGCCCCATTTCACTCTGTTCTTCAATAGTTAGAACCCCCACAGGACCGCCACAGAGCAGGTATTATTTGGGTGGTGGAGTATTGTCAGCACTGCAGTAACACTGACATAGTGGTGGTGTGTTAATGTGTGTTGCGCTGGTACGAGTGGATCAGACACAGCAGTGCTGCTAGAGTTTTTAAACACCTCAATGTCACTGCTGGACTGAGAACAGTCCACCAACCAAAAACATCCAGCCAACAGTCCTGTGACCACTGATGAAGGGATGAAGGACTAGAGGATGACCAACACAAACTATGCAGCTGAGCTACTGTCTCTGACTTCACATCTACAAGGTGAACTAACAAGGTAGGAATATATATATATATATATATATATATATATATATATATAGATGTTAAGCAGGAAGACGGATCTCAGAAGATGAAAGAAATAGTTCAGTCAAAAAAAGCTTATGTTACTAATGGTATATAAAAATGAACAGTTCGGTTATTAGTTTCTCTCCACCATTTTCCACATTAGCATGTTTGGTCAAGATTCTTTTAAAGGGGAATCTGCCTGTTTTTTAAAAAGTTCTCAAAAAATTATTTGTGATCTGATAGGAAATTGCTATTTTAGAGTCACTAAACTGTTCACAGTGGTGGTGATAGGAACCAGATATCCAAAGAAAAAAATGCTTAAAAAAGCTACATCACAGACAATTATTACATTAAGTGGTTACAAGTATGGTACCTGATGCCTGAGACACGGTTTTACAATAATTTTGCAACCTAAAACACCTTTGATAATGGAAGGACACAATATTTTTACCATTTTTTACCATTATTAACATTACATGTAAAAACTATGGATACTAATTTAAATATCTATATTAGCACTGTAGACATTGTGACCCCTGGTTCCTCTCACCACCACTGTAAAGAAATCCATTGGTAAGTTTCTCTACTGCACCATTTTACATCAAACAAATGATGTTGGTCACATCTCTTGAATTGAATTATGCAGAATTAATTTTAAATTGCTGGAATCCCCCTTTTAACCATGCAAATCATGTGTAAACCTTGTGCTATATGTAAAACTCAAGCCAAATGCATCTTCCACAGCGTTCCCATGAGCGCTACTGGCAGACGATTGATTGGTGCATAGGCTGCTCCATCAAGAACAATGGATTTTATTGGCTTACTGTGTGATGACGTCATTGTCTTCTTATCCTTCATCCCTCAACTGCCACCAGTCTACAGCATACATGTGTGAATGTGTGTGTGTGTTTTGTGTATCTTACAGTAGAAAATGTTCTTTAGGCTGGTACTCAGTAATTTAGTCAGTAATTTAGCGTATGGATCCGCTGGCAAAAGTGAAAGAGAGCAGCTTATGAGGCTTCTGTTCATTGGCTGAATGAAGTCAAGGTTAAAGCAGCAGGGGGGATTAAAGTATTTTTACCACAAAGCCAGAGAGAGAGAGAGAGAGAGAGAGAGAGAGGTAAGATATAGAGAGATAGAGGAACAGAGTGGAGTGCAGCCAGTTGAGATATTTAGATAGATATTAAAAAGTGTGGGACAGAGAGAGAGAGAGAGAGAGAGAGAGAGAGAGAGAGAGAGACATAGGCAGAGACAGAGAGGCAGATGGACATAAGAAGTGAATGAGAGAGATATAGAGACAAACAGACATAAATATAGATGGACACAAAGAGATAAAGAGAAGCAGAAAGGCAGATGGATAAATAGAGAGAGAGAGAAAGGGAGAGAGAGAGAGAAAAAATCAGACTGACTGAAAGACAGACAGACAGATAGAGCATAAGACAGTGGGAGAGAGAGAAACATACAGACAGAAATACAGATGGACAGATAGAGTGAGACAGAAAGAAAGAGGACAAAAGAGAGAGAGAAAGAGACAGATAGTCAAACAGACAGATGGACAGAGCCAGAGAGAGAGAGACAGATTTATAGAGAGATTTATCATTGAGCTCTATCATTTATCTCAGTCTGTTCTGTCAGTGCGGTTCTCTCCAGTTCTACTGAACATAGTGTACGTTTGTCTCCAGTCTCTGGGCCCCCCCTCGGGCCCCTCACCATCCGGCCGGCACCATGATGGGCTTTCAGGTGGACGATGTGGAGATCGACCCGGTCACTCTGAACCTGATCATCCTGATCGCGAGTTACGTGATCCTGCTGCTGGTCTTCCTCATCTCCTGCATCCTCTACGACTGCCAGGGAAAAGACCCCACCAAGGAGTACGCGCCGGACCCCCAGCCCAGTGCCACGCAAACACCCATCCGCCTGGTGGTCATGCAGGGGTCCCCCGCCACCCGCTGGGACCAGAACAAAACGGTCACCACATATGAATCGGCAGGGGGAGAGCAGAGGGAGAAAAAAACTACACTCGTCTGACCACAGGAGTGGACTTACCTGTACATAGAACTTTGTTTTTTAATGTGGGAGAAAAAACTGAGCTCGTCTGACCACAGACTGGACTAACCTGTACATAGGACCTGTTTAAATGTGGGAGATAATAACTCTTCTCCTCTGGCCAGCAAGAGGGAACAAGACTGGACAAAGGTGTACATAATTTACTGTATACACATTTTACCCACTTTTAACTTAGAAAAGAAGTTTTATTTTGTAATTTTGTGCTGGGCTGAAGAATGCTGGGACTGGATCTGCAGATGATCAAACTGAAACGGTAAGTCTGCTTTGTTTTTATGCTTATTTGAGCCTTTTTTGAGCTCTCTCTCTGTGTGTGTGTGTGTGTGTGTGTGTGTGTGTGTGTGTGTGTGTGTGTGTGTGTGATCAGTGTCCTCCTCTCTTGGCTCTGAGATTTCATAAAGCAGGATTTCACGTGATAGCACAGAGACACACAGGCTTATTTAGCCTACAACATTCTGCAAGGTCCACATTCTAATAAAGCATTAAAAAACATGAAAAGTTCTATTTATGACACAAACATTAACGCACTGACCAATCAATACATTAACTGTCCAAAAAACTTAAACATCACTTTGTTCACATTTATGAACATTTCATTTTTCTAAATGTTTTAGTATAAATGTGTATGATTTCATTGTCAATTTGCAAGTCAAAATAGTAAAGGGGGATCAGAATTGTTCACAGTTGAAGGGAATAGGAACCAGACATCTGAAGAGTTGAAATGTATATGAATTTGCTGCCTCATGTCTGAGACTTTTTTAATGATAGTTTTGAGGTAAGGTTTTGAGATAAAACATATTTTGTCAAAATGCAGTGTGGAGAGGTACAAGCAGGGTACTCTACACAGTTAGAGATAAAGGTTCTGTGCAGGTACATTTTTCATTCATCAAGGTACAAACAATATAAATGTACCATCAAAGGTACAACAGTGGTTTTAAGGACCAATTGTGTATCTTAAATATGTTTGTCTCCAGAAACGTTTTCTAAGAAAAAGAAAAAGAGGTCAAGGATTAGCTATTGGTTCCTGAGGTTAAATGGACATTCTAGCCTTCGGTGGGCTGTTTAAAAGTTCTTTTGTTAGCTGGTGAATGCAGAAGGAAGGTACATCGCTAATGTTACAGCAAGGAAATTGAATATCTTATTACAGTTATACTGCAGTAACTGTCTTCAAATCATTACAGTGGAGCACTCAGACGACAGAAATGTCTTGTCAGACGAGAAGGCTAACAACAACTTGTCTCTGATGTCCATGTTGTACTGAATGAAGACAGAATCACTGTTTTCTTTACAGTTTTGTTTGGCAACAAGGTAAGAGTTGCACTTAGCTAGCTCAGTTGTAATTATTAGCGTACATCTCAGTGGCTAGGCTAGCAGTCAGGATTGGTTGACACCACAGGGCTGTGTGATATATCTGTGTAACGCATTTTGAGCAGAGAGAGTCCTGCTGAAAAAAGACCATTAGAAATAATATTCATGGCATATTTTTTTCACGTTCCATATTCACCAGACATGGATACAAACACAGCAAAGTATTTCAGAGCACCAAACTGAACACTTGATAAAATCAGCATGGCTTCTGTAGCTGTAGAGATTCTCTAACATAAGCGGAGATGGCAATCCTCTGCTGTTTGGCGTTGGGGAACAGTGCAACGCCTGGTTTGGCCAATCAAATCAGACCTCATAAGTTGTAAGCCAAGCATAATCTTCCAAGTATTACAACATTTTTCTTCAGCAACTGCAAAACAGGTCACGAGTGTAGCTCTGAACCTTTGAAGTTGCTGTTACAAAAGTTAGTTTTGAAGAATTCATAACTGATCTCTGTCAGAGCCGGTTCTGACCTCCCTGGGGCCCTGAGCAAAATTCTACAAAGGGGCCCTCCTACCTGACCCATGAGCCATGTAAAGCATTTGAAATTGCCACACAGTCACACCTGACACCCTTCTGGTCCCACTACAATCCTCCCTCCTTTAGAACAGTTTGATTCGTCTGTCACTCCAAGAGTGAGTAGACCTATACAGAACAGAATAAGGTACAAACAAACAATGTTTATCAGTCAATCAACATTTACTCCTCTACTGACAAACTTAAGCTTAGCACCTGCATCAGCTGCATCAGGTCCATTCAGATTGGCCTTATCTGATTGCTGTTCCTGCAAGTCACTCTCATGGTGTTTTGACCAGATGGATAGTTCTTTTTAGTAGGCTTTAAATCACTTAAATACTGATGTTTACAAATTATAGCCTTTAGGTCTGCAAATACTTGCACTGTAAGAGATACTTTTCTAGGAGACTGTCTGCTAAAAGCTGTTATCATCTGAATATTGTGAAGTAAAAGTAAATTATGTTATAACTGTGGGATAATAGCACAGTTTGGATGTTTTCTGGCTCGACAGTTAGTTGTGTGCTGTTTTGCCCTGTTTCAGCTCATTTTTCTGGTATAAAACTAGCCAGCTACTTTTATCTTGTAGATTCGTGAGTTGTTTAGATTGTCAATAAGGTATTTATGATGGGCTAATGTCTGAGAAATGACACAGCACACCATTTTCAGTTGTTTTAGTATTCCAAAGAACAGTACACAGGTACATACCAGACGATTATAACATACTTTCCACAGTATTTTATCCTTTGTTGGTCGTACCGTCTCCATTAGGCAATGTAAGAAAACAAGTTTTCTGAGACGCTGGCATCTAAATGAGCCCTAACTGACACAAGATTATCTGCTGTTCATGCTGTGTTACGCCTGTTACACCAAGGATTGGGTCTCTTGTAGCAGTACTGTTCTGTTCATCCAATCTGCTGTGTTTATGCAAACAACTCAACTGTAGACCCACTAGACTATAAAAGTATATTCAAAAAGAAACAGCTTATCATAATAAGTTTTATGTGTCTTGTTTAATTGCCTGGGCTAATCATTAAAAGTTCAATTAATTATTTTAAATTAAAAGCATTTAAAGGTAACCAGCATTTAAAGGTAACCATTGTCACGATTCACTTATGTTATCTGTTTATTAATTCTTTTTATCCAAAACATGGTTAGCATGAAAATTGATATAACTGCACCTTTTTGAGTTTTAAGTTGAATACTCCTGATATGTATTATACTTAAAATACTTTTGTCAGGTCTTTTATTGTTACTCCTTACCAGTACCAGGTTTTCAGTTGCAGTTCTACAATTCTGAAAGGAGGGGGTGCTGCAGCTCCCTTAGCACTTCCCGTATTCCCACATTTTAGTGTCTTCAGCTGAAGGGAGCTTTCATCAGAGACTACAGAACTAGATATCAGAAGAGAAAGTGAAAAGCAGAGAAAGCAGAATGTTTGAAAATGAATGAACAGAGAATCCATTGTTTCTCTCCCCATTTCCAACTGATCTGCATCTGTTCTGAGTTTTGGCCTTTATTCATTTTTATTTTAAGTGAATTGCATTTTTTAATTATTTTCCTTAAGACAGCTTCTTCTGTGGACAAATATTTTTAAAGATATTATAAAAATAAATTTTTAAGACACTTTTTTATGGTGTCTGACAAGACCCAAAGGAGTGCAAAATAAAAAAAATAAGCTGCAAATGCAGAAAACACTGCAAAGTCAGTCACAACACAACAGAAATGTTCCCAGAGGACCCATTTAAAACTTGAAATGCTCTGCAGCATAAACATTGACCAGTAAAAGTAAATTGACTTTTATTTGAACAGATAAATAATATTATTGTATCGTAATTAGAATTTCATATCAATAACAGATATGACTGATAACTACCATAGTACAGCTATGACGCGTCAGGTCGCTAACTAACCAGCCAAATTAACCATGAGTTCACTGTAATGTGAGTCTGTGCAGTCAGTGATTCTGTCAGTGATTTTCCATCACAGATATTCCCTCCCCTTTCAGAATTTTCAGAGTTGTGAATCACTTCCGTTGTGTTGTGACTGGCTTTGCAGCATTTCTGAAGTTGCGTGTGTTTTCTGAGAATACAGTGCAATTGTGGAATGTAGTCCAAGCATAGTCATGCTGACAGTACTTTCTGAATTTGTATTACGTTTATGAGCATCATTTTTTCCATTTTACTGTGCGTTGGGGCGTGCCAAAAATTTTTCGAGATTTTTTTTTATTTATTTATTTTTTCAAAACAATAGCCAGTGGTTTAGCAAGTTTAAAATGTGCACTAGCTTATAAAAGTGCATTCAAAATAAAACAGTTTATCAAAATATATTTTATGTATGTCATTTAACTTTGTTATTTGCTAATTGTTAATGGTTAAGCCTGTGATGGACTGGCGACCTGTCCAGGGTGTATCCTGCCTTCTGCCCAATGACAGCTGGGATAGGCTCCAGCACCCCACCATGACCCAGAAGCAGTTTAGATGATGTGTGTGTGTAATGGTTAAGCATTTAAAGGTAACTGTTGTCACCATTCGCTTATGTTAATATATTTTTTTTCCCCAGAACTTTGTAAGGATAAAATTTGATGTAACTGGACCTTTTTGAGCTTTCAGTTCAATACTCCTGATATATACTATACTCAAAATGCTTTGGTGTTTTATTGTTATTCTTTACTGGTTTCCAGTTGCAGTTCTGCAATTCTGAAAGGAGGGGGTGCTGCAGCTGCCTTAGCCTTTCCCACATTCCCACATTTTAGTGTTTTCCCTGCTCTAACACGCCCACTTCTACTCAGGGAGGGCTTGCTAATTAGCCAGTTAGTTGGATCAGATATGTTTAGCACAGAAAATACTCATATACACAAGAACGGGCCAGGGGTGCAGCCTGTGAATTGTGGTCACCTGGCCACACCCATATCACGGTGAAAATCTGAAAACAATCAGTGAAGTTATCAATCAGTTATGATCACGGGAGCGTGGACGCTGCTCAAAACTTATGCTCTATGTAGACTACTGTAGATTTTAATGATGTCCAGCACTGTTATGATGTTAGTATCATATAGTAATGTGTCATTTATTATGTAAGCTAAATACTTTTTACAGCTAAGTTCATATTTAATGATGCAGGCTAGATTTCATCAGAGGTGAATCCAGTGCTGAGTATACATTCCTGCTAATGCTACAGTAGATTAGATTGTTACCCTGCCAAATATTATTCTCTCATAATGTTACCTCACACCTTTTTCCCCCACCCCAAAAAATTGCTGGGCCTAACCTGGCCACCCCATTGAAAAGGTTCTGGCTCCAGGAACAGGATTGGGAATCACTGGCCCATGCTGACTGGGTTGGTTGCTGTATATTGGGTGATTCCAGGTTAGA